CGACCAACAGATTAGTCGGGGCATAGCTCCGGAACCGTAGCTGGCTACCAAAAAAAAAAATAGCCAACATAGCTATGACTTCTACTCGTATCTATTAGAAATTTTAAAATAATAAAATATTTGACCAACTTACCTAAAAAATATATTTTAAAGTTAATAACTTTCTTATATGGTATCAAAATTTTATATATAATATAACAAGTTTTTTTTTTTTTTGAAACGCTAATTATATTAATAACTGGAAAACTAAAAAGAGTACAGTCGAGGTGTCAACCTATACCAACAGAACCAGAAAAGTTGGACCTACCTCATTGGGACTACATATGTGTCCAAGGGGGTACAAGTTTCATCAAGGAAACAAAAACACCTACACAACACAACTCCATAAATGAGAAAGGAACTCTACAAAGAAGGTTAGACACCTGAAGCCGTTGGACTAAACAAAATAAAAATAAGGGAAGACAAAAACACACACCTAATATACATAAGTAGAGTAAAACCTCCCGTAACATAGTAGAAGAACCACACAACCACCCAGATTGACAACTGAGTAGCACCCACATCTAAGAACCCCAAACGAACAATTGAACTAGACCCTACACTCGAAAACTATGGTCACTCAAACAGTCTAGACGAAATTTTGGTCCAGAACTTGGAATCCGCGGAGCTCCGGCCACGGGAAGAAGAAAGGGAGTTGTGAAGAAACCGCCAGATGGTACGAGGTAAAGATCCAAGACCCCGGGGGAGCAGCCTAGCCGCGTGCCACCATGGTGAGAAACTTACCAGACACACGCCTCCAAGGTAATGACATGAAGCTCGCTAGACCAGAAAAAATGGCAGGCTTCGACAACTGAGACTAATTTGACATCAAGTTATTCAGTTCTTGATGGTTTCAATTTGACATTCACTTCTCATATATAAATATATATATATATATATATATATCATTATAAGAACAAATATCAATATTAATAAAATATAATAAAATTATTTCTTAATTAAATTAAGTCATATGTGAAGTCTATGGTACAATATTTTTATTGTTTTTTTGCCAAGAAGTTTATCGTACAATAGGAATTGATAGAATTACTATAATTAATGTAGGAAGGATTCAAGTCCTACAAAAGTAATGAGTATTATTTTAAATGTAAAAATAATAATGTATTTAAAAAATATAAATTTTGACTAAAGTAATATAGACCACCATTTTTTATAAAATAATTTTCATGCAAATCCGAATCCAAGGACTTATCCATGGGCCCTCCCCCCTTCAATTTTCGTGGGCTGCCTTAAATCAGAAATTAAAATTGACCGACAATAAACAAACTCAGAAAGTGAAGAAAGAAATGATTAAAAAAAAAAAAAGAAAATACTACTGTCTCATTACGGTACCATTTTATTTTAACTATTGGATCCACGTGTAGCTAGATAAAATAGACGATTAATCGGTTAAAACACCCAACGAGGAAGATAGATAATTCAATGATTTAAACACCCGACCAGATGGTACCGTAGCACTATAAAAAAAAATGTGTAACGCAGATAGGGAGAGAGAGAGAGAGTAGTCATTTGTCATCTC